AACAGCTAACGAAGAAGAGGTTAAAAAGATGTGTATGTACAAGTATCCAGGAATGAAAAAAAAGATGGGAGAATTTGAACTATCCATAGTAGCTGGAGAATTCACCGATTCTGAAATTATGGTGATGTTAGGGGAAAATGGTAAGTGCAATTTGTGTTGGAAACTGCTTCTCCAGCCCTGAATATGCTCTCTTCTTCACTTAGGGAGCCAGGTTTCAAAATTACTGGGTTTGAGTCAAATTGAGCTGCTTGTTTCCTGGTGAAGACACTACAGCATGAGTCCCCTGACTGGGGAGAATGTGAAGTTGCTGAGTGTTAACAGTGCCACTGTGTTTGCCTGTTACCCCATTTAAAAACTTAGGTGGCAGTTTTAAGATGTCTCTTCCATTTGAAAAAGCAAGTAGTAACAAACACTAGAAGTTAATATAGGAATTCTCAAAGCAGTCTAATTTTAAAATGTATTTATTAAATAGTCTTTGCTGTTGTTGTTCTATCAGTGACTTAATTGTTAGAGGTTTAAATTACTAAAAAGTGATTAATTTGTAACTTGTATTTTAGGAACTGGCAAAACAACATTTATCCGAATGCTTGCGGGAAGACTTACACCTGACGAAGGAGGTAATGTGTTACACCCAAGCTGAAACCTATTTTAAGGATACTGGAAATTTTCTTTTTTACATTATTAATTTTGTCTTTTTATAGGTGAGGTTCCAGTCCTAAATGTTAGTTACAAACCACAGAAAATCAGCCCTAAATCTACGGTACATTTCAGTCTTTTTTATTATTGTGTTTGCTACAAAATGCACAGATGGAAATTCTTTTATGCCTCTTTTACATCTGTATCTATTTTAGATAGATAATTTGTTTTATTCTGTTTCTGCTTGTTTTCTTGTGGTGCATAAAACTAAATAACAGCATTTTCTTTTTGTTAGGGAAGTGTCCGTCAGCTGCTGCACGAGAAGATCAGAGATGCCTATACACACCCCCAGTTTGTAACTGACGTGATGAAACCTCTTCAGATAGAAAACATCATTGACCAGGAGGTATTAATTTCTTGAATCAACATCTTCATTGTCTTAACTCTCCACCTGTTCCTGAACTAAGCATGGCCTTGTTTCCCCCACACCACCAGGTTCAGACGCTGTCTGGTGGTGAGTTGCAGCGTGTGGCGTTAGCTCTTTGTCTGGGTAAACCTGCAGATGTTTATCTGATTGATGAGCCCTCAGCATATCTGGACTCTGAACAGCGTCTGATGGCTGCCAGAGTCATTAAACGGTGCGTACACATGGTGGGCAAGGAACTGAAATTTGCAGTAGTATTATGTTGAGTTCACATTACTGTCTCTTTTCTTTCTCCTCATTTCAGTTTCATTCTCCATGCTAAAAAAACAGCTTTTGTGGTAGAACATGATTTTATCATGGCTACATATCTTGCTGATCGTGTGATTGTTTTTGATGGCATTCCTTCCAAGAACACACTGGCAAACAGGTGAGAGATTCTTTGGGATTACTAAACGAGATTATTATCTCTGCCTACAGAAATTTAAGATGCATCCATGTCTGTCTCAAGGGTTCTGACTTTTGTTTTGAATCGTGAAACAGAAAATGGGATTGATCCTCACTTACAGGCTGCCTTAAACTAGAGTTGGGGCAGGGTTGGGGAACATAACCAAGCCCTCAAGAACTAGATCAGCCTTAAGCAACTGCATGATGGCTAAATTACAGTTGGAAGAGACCAAGGAATGAGAAAAGTACGAACTGTAAACTACCCTTCTGAAAATAACTTTCAGATGTATTAAAAGAAAGCAGCGTACTAATGGTACCTGTATGCAGTTGTAGTGAAGGGCAAGTCTTGATGCCAGCATGTAGTGTGCATTGTTTTACTCTTTCAGAGCTGTCCCTTTTGATGTCTGCTTTTGTTCCTGTAAATAATTTCACATAGATTACAGAGACTTTTTGATGAGCAGCCTTATCAGAAACCAGGCTTTTAGAACAGTGAGTACTTGGCACAAGCCAGAAGAAGTAAATACATTGGTCTGCCATGTGTCTGCAATCCTCTGCTACCCTGGCTTTGGTGGTATTCTTCCCAGAACACACATGTTGGAATTCAAAAATCAAAATCATTCACTCATACTTGAGAAAGCAATGTTACGATCTTTGTTAGATTTGTGAATGGTGCAAGTGTTGGAGGTTTTTTCCTTGAATATAAGTAAGTGTGCCAGCACAGTCGTGTAGATACAAAATAAAAAGAAAGTAAAAGTCACAGCTGGAAGCCACCATGAGATACTACTCTCATCTTTCAGCAGCTTCTGAGACAGGGTTCAACTAGAAATGTAGCACTTCATGTTATGTCAAATACAGCTCACATTTGCATTTCCAGACCTGAGTGAGCTTAGGACAGAGATCAAAGTTGCCTGTAATCATAAAAAACTTCTAAAAATGTAGCTAAAATACTCTTCTCTCTCAACAGTCCACAGACTCTTTTGGCTGGAATGAATAAGTTTTTATCTCAGCTTGAAATCACTTTTAGAAGAGACCCCAACAACTACAGACCAAGAATAAACAAACTTAATTCCATCAAGGTAAGAGAGGAACATCTTTACAGTACAGGAGCTGTGATTATTTAATATGAAACCAGATTTTAAAATATGGAACAAAATGAAGACTGACAGGGCAGTTCTGCTGTGCTGGAAAAACAGCAAGTGTAAACTAGGAAGAGGAATAAGGGAAGCAGAACGGAGTTTAGATAAGTGTCTTTTATTTAGTTATGTTCAAGTCTGCCAAAGACTACTTCAAGTAATGGTGACCTTTTTTCTCTTCCCAAGGACGTGGAACAAAAGAAGAGTGGAAACTACTTCTTCCTGGATGACTAAATATTGAATCCCAGCATCTTTTTAACTGGCATCCAGACATGCACATTGAAATCTAAACAGCTGTGATGAGATGGCTCAGATCAGGTTTTAGAACAATTAATCTTTTGGAGCTTAAAATCTCTTGCTGCATTTAACATGAGACAGTAGCAGTAAACATCCTAGTCTGAGTAAAACTGCCACTTTGTATATTTTGGTGACACAGCCCTATTTTCAGTGTAATAATTTCAAAATAGACCACCTTGAAATTATGCAAATGGGTCTCCTGATTTTTCAAAATTTAAGGGAGGTTTTCAATTCAATATATCCTACTCATGTACCAAGTACTGACTGAACTTCCTCATTTTAAAATAAATCTTTGAAGCCGTTTTCTGTATAAGATGAAAGTTTACTAAGAATGTTACGCTACAGGAGTGACTCCTTTTAAAAAGGTTAAATCTCTCTGGCTGAGGGTTTCAAAAATAAAATATCCACCTAACTTACAACTCTTCTGTGACACTGCAGAATTTCTTCAATTACTTATTCAGAAGCATGTATATTTATATAATCTCACACACCCTTTTCTCACATTGTAGCGCACAAAGATGCAGTACAAAGAATGTAAAAGAAGGTAGCTACACCTTTTTTTAATCTGTCCCTGTGCGTGTTCTTAGACCTAGTGAGATGAAAATAATCAGTGAAATAATCTAAAAGAAATATATGGCTAAGATGCAGAAATTACTTTTCCCTAAAGTAAAAGTATTGATCCTTATTATGAAAAAAAAGAAATTAACTTTAAAAACCTTGTTAAAAATTTACTTCCATATAAATGGAAGTCCTTCAGGGAATCATTTAAAGGAAAGTTTAAAAGTTCCTGCTTACTTAAGCAGACACATAAAAACAACTTTCAGCTATGTATCTTAAAAGGAAGGGTATTTTTCATTAAACATTTGTCTGCCTTTACTGGCATGTGAAAAACACGGCTTTGTCCGTTGTTTACAATTTTGCCCCAGAAGCTACAGAAAGAAGTTGGGGTTTTCTGTGATTTGCCATTCTGTGTGTTAGTAACATGGTTATTTCAGAACTCTGGCAGTACTGAGTACTGTATATACAAACTACCTCCCTCTGTCTTGTAACAGCAATGCACCTGTACCACACCTGCAGAGGGACTCCCTAAAGAAGCAGAAGTATTGCATACATCCTTACACAACCACCCTGATCAGACAGAAACTTCAAAAAGCTGACTAAACTTGTTCTCTGTACAGCTTAACTCCCTTTGGACTGATGTTGTGTGATCTTCTCTATCAGTTGTAATAAGGATAAGGTAAAAGATGTGGTTCAGCTGTGTGTCACAGCTTATTATATACTAAATATTACATATGTTAACAGGAGGATCCTGCAATCTAAAACATCTTGCCCCAGGCCAGAGGTTGGGCCAGTCAGTCTACTTCAGCAAGAGAGGAAACCAGACTTACTTGATCAGCATTGGAGAAATTCTATCTGCACCTTCCAGTCCTTCACTGTCCTAGAGTAGCAAGGCCATGTGGACCCAGCTGAAAGAAGCTGGCTTTTGAAAGCAAATTCTAAAAGCACATCTCTCCCCGTTACTGTCATGCCTCTCTTCCCCAGTGTTTCCCCATAAATTCCTGCAGGAAGCGTTACCACCTTCATTCTTGCAACAAAGCTTCTGACGAACTAGCTGCTCTAGGAGAGGATGATTAGATCAGTGACTGCTGCACAAATTTCGGTTGTCTACAAAAGCTGGAGTTGAGAGTTTAAAATGCATCAGAACAGCCCTCTTTACATTTTTGAATGGAGCTGAAATAAACAGAGAATCACAATGGTAACAACAGTTAAATCCCTCAGAGCTTGTTCTCTACCTGAAAATGTGAAGATTGCCTCTTTTGAAATCCTGAATACATTTCTGAATGAAAAAGTATTTAGATTTTAAAAAGAAAAACCAAAAAGCTTCCAGCATGACCCCTATCCCTACAAACAAGAACTCCAAATTAAGTTTATGGCTTCTATTTCTTTGCTGCTTGCCAGACCCTATTCATCATTCTGCTGCTTACTACACCTGCTCTGTAAGAACAACACTTCATTGAATGCCATTGCAAAAGGTTTAAATACATTAATATAATTTAGAAAGCAAATGAAAAGACAAAACATTTATTTTAATTAGGGTTTTATACATAGCATGCATCTGAAAACAAACTCTTTATCATGTAACTATCACTCTGGTTTCTGCACCAAGGGTGTACAATCTCAGACACAATGAATGGGTACCATCACCTACACTACTGTATACAGAGATATAAAAATATACACAACAGTTCAATTTTACAGAGCAACAGAGCTGAGTGAATACTGTGCACACTGCACTCTCCGAGCCTGGACAGCTGAACATCCAGACTGCAAAGGCAACAGGAACACTGGAGATCGTAACCGGGCTCAGAAGAAACAGCATCAGAACTCTGACACAGTGTAAAAATATAAGGCAGAAGCCACTTTCTTCTGAATTGTAGGGAAGAGCAGAGCACACTGAGACTCTCCATTCTTGCTTTTAAAAGTAGTTCCAGCAAGGAGTTGTACATGCAAAACATCAACAGTGCAACAACAAAAGAATACTGAACAGTAGCTCAATCGTACAAACTTAAAAAAACGTAACACGTACTTTATGCATCTCCTCACAAAATATCTAGGATTTGTCAGTGCATTAGTGTTAAAGTGGCATTAAAAAAATTTCTGCTATTATAACAGATGCAGAATTATTTTGGAAATGCATAGCATCTACATTTTTATTGTCTTTGTAATTATTCAGTTGGCATAGGCACCATTCTAGTCACACCAGCATTAAGAAGAATTCATGGTGGAAACAGCCATTCTTATCAGTTCATACACAGGTATTCTTGACTGCTTGTCTTGATTTTGATTTCAACAAATAAATGCTTTTTAAAATTCAAAAATATACCCTATGATTATGAAAAGAACTATATACAACATACCTAAGACACAGGGTTAGCTGGCTGCCATACGTGTAACACACAAGAGAAACATTCAAGTTTGACAGATATTTTTTTCTTTTTGAGATGAAAGGCCTTTGGGTTGGAAGCATATCAGAGACAACAGTGCAGTAGGCTGAGAATTCCTTTAGCTCAGTTCAGAACTAAGGCATTGAATGATAAAATATACATTTATATTTGGTGCAATGTTACTGTCAATTTTAGAATCTAGATCACATCAAATGCTGTCATTTGTCACTCTAGTAAACGCACATACCCATCCTCTATCACAAAGGCAAACCTTTTGGGGAAAAAAAATAACCCAATACTAAACCTATTTTTTTTTCCTAATTTGACATTGAAGAAAAACTGCTAAGCCAAACAAACTCTAGAATCCCCCCAAAAACCCTATGTAGGACTTGACATCCTCCTAGTCTTTACTTGCCACAAATTAGCCAAAAATTAAACGTATCATTGAACTTCAATAAAAAGAAATTAAGATTTTAAACTGCTACTTCAAATTACTTTTTGCTTCTTAAATTTTCCAATTATCCACTCATTTTATGCTTGCTGCCCCCTCTGATTATCTCCCAGTGTTGCCCTTCTCCTGTCATTTCTATATGGCTGCCCTCTAAAGTTTCTCTGATACTGGTAGCCGTCATCTCTGCTTCTGCTGGGTGGTCCTTTCCAGGCCTCCTCGTTTCTTTGGAACTGGTATCCTCCCCTGCTGGAATAACCCCTGTCAGGTCTGGGCCTTCTGCCTCCTCCATAAGTCTGGTTATAGAACTGCTTGGATCTGCCACTCCTCAACATGTCGGAAACCTCAGTGTCATCTTCAGAGCTCTCTTCCCTCGTTCTCTGGGCCCTGCTTTCCGTCTGCACGTTCCCAGTGCCCTTGGACTCTCTCCCTTTAGCAGGCTTCTCCTTCCGGCCAGGAGTGCCGGGTTTCAGTTCAGTTTTGGGAGGTTCTGCCAGCAGTGGCTGCGTGCTGGGCCCTGCCGTTGGCCGCTCTGGACCCTGTGTCTGCGGAGGGCGATGCTGCTGCCCATCTGCTTTCTGCTTAGAAGCAGCCGATGGACAGGTTTGCTCCAGCTGAGGTGCCCTGGCTGAAGCGTCTTTCGGAGTCCCTGCAGCAGCCACTGGGAATGGGACAGTGTTGGAGCCGCTGCCAGTGTTGCTCTTCTGGAGCTGCTCTGCACAGTTCACTCCAGGAACTGGAGGGCTGCATTCTTTGCCCACATACATGCTGGCAGAGGTGCCAACTGCTGCCTCTTTACCCTCAGGTGACAAGACAACATTAGGTCTTGCTACTGAATTCTCAATGAAACCCTGAACTGGGTACCCATACCAGAAGTGAGGAAAAAAAGGAGGTGCTATTGGAACAGCTCCTAGAAAGTGATTGTGTCCAAAGGGCGGCTGCGGGAACATATTCTTCCCTCTCAGGGACTCCTCGTAGTTCGCATGAAGAGCTTGCGCTGGATTCTCTGGTTCGACACAGACCTGTCCTTGACTTTCTGTCACCTGAGCTGAAGGTATGATCAGAGGCAGTGATGGAGATCTGTCAACCTGTGGAATCTGACCATTGGACCTGGCCTCGGTCTGGACAGCAAAGTGCCTGTTTGGTCGTGCGGTTTCATTTTCGTTCTGAGTGGGAGCAGCCTCCTGGAACCAGGGGTTGTGCGGATACACAGGAAGGGACACATTTGGGTACATTCTACAAGCAGCTAAATAGGCCTGGTGCAGGGGGTACAGGTAAGAATGGGGTGCCCACATGGGACAACTGTATGCCTGCAAGACAGCAGGGGGGGAAAAAAACATAATCAGTTATTTGGTCTTTTGAATGTTCAGACAGACATAAAAGCACACCAGTCATTTACCATTTTGAAACATTTAATTATAGGAGATAAAAGTTAATTTTCTTTACAGTGACTGCCCTCAGTTCTAAATCCTATGACTCTAGGATGGTGTTCTTATATTTTGTTTTCCTTCCAAATGCAGTTGAAATGGTCAACAGTTACTTCAATTTCTATATGGTTAAAGACAAAGTTTGACACAGTAAGTCAAATGTCACAGTTACATGTTATAGTCACAACTATATGTTTGAAGAGAAACATTTCAAACTAATTTTCCAAAATCACAATTATTGGCAATTATTCTACTGGCAATTTATTTATATTGGCAAGTTATTCTATTAGACCTCACTTTGCAAAGGCCACAGCACTGAAGTTATCCACCTCAGATCGTGACCCCTTCCCTTTCCCCTACCTCCACCTTAATGAGCTGGACTCTGTAAACAGTCCCTGGAGCAAACCATCCTGAAAAGCCTAGACAGGCCTCCTCTGCAGGAGCCCCTCCCCTCTAAATGTGCAGTGGAAGGGTGTGGGCAGGGCAGGGTCTGGAGCAGAGCAGTAGACAGACAATGGAGAGAGTATTTCCCGGGCCTGCTGTACCCTGAGACACCAGCGGAGCAGCACAGCTGCTAGAACATAGGCTGGGACCAGCAGATGGTGCTGAAGTACCAAAAGGACAGGCTAGATCCTAATAATCCACAGTAGCAGTAAGGAGGGTCCCAAGACTGTTAGCTTAGGAAACTCAAGCTGTTTAAATGCATTGTGGTGACACTTGCTAATTAACAACTAACGGACTTCCTATTAAGCACAGAAACTTATATTAGGCAGAGGTATCAAATTTACATTGGAAACTGTGCTGAATATTCCCTCTTTCCATGCCCAGACACCAAAGAATATTGTTGCTATGGCAAAAGTCCCTTGAAATAAGCCCAAGCGCTCTCAGCACCTTGCCCCAAGTCCTTTGCCTGACATAAGGAATAAGAAAGTAAAAAAGGAACATTTTTATGTGCAGAAGGGAGAAATAAAGCAAACAGCCAGTCCTTGCCAAGCAATGGAAAACGTTGGCTGAACCTCTTCTCCAACCACACACACAGATTTGCATCACATTTACACATACACACTACTGTAATTACTGAAAAAAGTGAAATACTGTTATTAACCTGAGCAGAAAGAACAGATATGCAGGTTACTTAAGGAAAAGATTTTGGGATCTGTAGTGCAGTGGCTTTGCCAGTACACAGCCAGGGCTGCACTCTGAGGGCATTTTCTCATTCCCTATGCATATGATCTGAAATAAGCATCTTCACACTTAGGATTTATCTGGGACTTTGAAAAGCACAATTTGCTGGTCGTGCAGCCAGAGCTGGAAGCCAATAGTTCTCACTATGCTGTTGACATGAATTTGACTTTTGCTGACTTGAACTGCACTGTGGACAATTGCTGGAATCCCAGTTAACAGAACACAAAATAAGAAAGTACTTCAAACTGAAAGATGGACTTGAAATGTACAGCAACAAAATGTCCTGCACTCCAAGTTCCAACAATTATTTACAAGCGATTTTTATAACAAACGTGAAAACATAAGTTTGAAGACTTACCTTCACACCAAGATTGAAGAAAAATCTAAGAATGTTCTTATCTAAAAAAACAAGAACAAAAATATTTATGAAGACCTAAAATATTTAATCTGATACAAAAACTGCATAAAGTTCCATTTCAGTAGAGAACACTGGTGTAAAGTTATTGCTTGTCTTCAGTTGATTAGCTGGGGTTTTTTGCCACAGGAAGATATCTAGAACACAACAGCAGTTTAAATTTCAGCTTTAACAGTCTGTGAACTAGTTTTTAAAGAAACAGTTCACTAAACAAACACCACTGTGCAGTCAGACATGAGATGTTCTCTATGGGCATATGTTGCATTCATAGTATGCCAAAACCTGTATTTTCCCAGATTAGTAAGGAAATACTCAACATCTTTTAAATGACATGAGCAAACCTATTACTCTGACAGGAGCAGTTCTCCAAAGACAATTCTTTACGTGCACAAAACCTCAAGTTATGGTGGGACAAGCTAAGACACAAAATCATCCTACCAGATTTCCAGGTGTGACCACTTTAAAGTCACAACATTGACACTGCAAACTAGAGAGATACAATTCTGTTCAATATTCCCTCCCACATCTTAAATCATGGAACTATTGGATCTTTTGACAAAGAATGACAACAGGACCCAAAAAAGTTGTGTTTATCTACATTTTAAGAAAAGAAGACCTATTTGGAAAAGTGGTGTAAAATTCAGACTTCTTACCTTTAGGTAAGTCTTCCCCAGTACTGCACAGGGAGTAAGGAGGTGCAACGGCTCTTTCTCCCTTTTCATTAAAAGGGAATCCAGGGTATAGCGGATCCTGATAGGGATTCAGAGTCTGAGGCAAAGGCATTAAAGGCTGGTTAACTGCTTGTAGCCACACAGGAACTCCAGCAACTGAAGCAGATGTTACCTGAGCCTGTGATACAATAGAGTCAGGTCCCGTTGCTGGTCCTGGCATCAGTGAAGAAGCAGGTATTTGGGTTGGAATACCTAGAGGGAAAAAAACCCAACAAACATACATATATATATATAAATAGAACAGGTATCAATATAAATGGATATATGAAATATGAATAATGAAAATATAATTATGGAACATGAATATATGAAAATATATATGTATATAAAAATAATCACAAACCAAAAGACATCAGAAAAGCAGGATTCAAAATGCAGAGAATAGTTTTCAGAAAGAATGAAACAAGTAGGTTAAGCTTTCCAGAAATAGCTAAATTGATCCTATGCTTCTTTTTAAAACTAGGAATGCCAGAAGGAAATAGGAAGGAGAAAAAAATGGGGGAACTGAAACTTTTATGTGAATCACTGAAGTTGTCATTCTGACTAGTCATTTAGAGTCAACTCTGAATCTGAGCTTAGATCAACTTGGCTGCACATCTTCTGTCACGGATACAGTCAAGTGAGACAGGATTGCCTCTGTCTCATGTGAACAAAGGAGGCTGATCTGAAAGCTGGTTCTCGTACAGAAACAGCAGTGTGAGAGAAAATGCAGCACCTGATCTAATGAGCACTATTGATCCTAAGCTAATTCCACAGACCACAAGATATGCACAGCACACAAAAACCCATTACACATGCTTTGCAACTCAGGTCCAAATGGATCTCATTAGTTTCAGACATACAAGCCCCAAGCTGAGGCCTCAGTCAACCAAGGAGTCTATTATTACATGGGACACAGAGCACAAACACTTACCAGGTTTCAACATGCTGACAATATGTTCTACCTTAAGCAGATCCTCAAAACTCAATGCTATCCCACTCAAGAGGAAAAACAGCCAATTAAGTACACTACTCTCTCATACCTTCAGGCTGGGAGTCAAGCAAACTATACATACAGGCAATTAAAGATGTTAGAAGTCTCACCAGCTTTCAGCAGTGAGAAAATACATTCCTATGAATGTCTGCTTTTGGAATATGGAATTTTATGAGCCAGTGTCTCCTGGGGGTATCTTCAACTTAGTAAGAGGGTTGAAGTATTTCCAGGGTTAGTAACTTCTGATTAATGTTAATATTTCTGCAAACCTGCTGGTCCATATGTTGCTGGCTCACTTGGCCAAGCTGGCACAATGGCTGGTACAGAAGGCACTGCTGGAGGTAAATGCACCTCAGAGAAGACTGGAGAGGGCGTTGGAGTTATGGTCGGCAAGCACTCCGTCAGGTTCTGTAAAAACAAACAAATCTAAATCCCATCATGGCTGCTGACCCTGATGGCTCAGTCTTATCCAGACTACCACCATCCCCACATGGAGGTACTAACTAGGAACATACCCAAAGAAACCTGAGCTGCATCACTGTGTGGAGAGCTTGCTCTGAGTTCTGTCCAACCATGCCTGTACCACAGAGCCATCAGTGCTGGAACCACCTCCTCATGCTTTAAGTATCTCCCACCCAAAAGAAAAGCCACCCTCAACAAGCAATTACCAACAACCTCGGAGAAACCTGATAAGGAGAAGCTAAAGAATTTAAAGGGAAAAGCACAGTTACCTTGGTAGAAAAGTATGAAATAACCCCTCTCTCAGGAAAGAATAGACATACTTTTACTTTTCTATCAAGGGCTGTCCTTTTACAATCTTTATACTTGACATAACAGATTCCTAACTGTAAATATGAAATTTTAGCATTATCACCATAATGACCATGTAATTAAAAGCCAGTATTGTAATACATACGTGGCTGTGATGAAGCTCCCCTTTGTCTGAAGTGTCCTGACTGGAAAACTTTGAAATCAAACAAACATTTCTTACTTGCTCAGCAAGAATCGGAGAATCTGTTTTTACTTGTTCCAAAGGAGATGAAGCTTTTGGATAACTCTCATCTTGACTATTCTTCTAAAGCAAAGTTAGAAACAACATACACTGCTAGTCTAATAGTCAGATTAACTTTACAAACAGTTATTCACAAAATAATAAAAATAAACCACACTCCATACAAAGTGGGCTAAGCACCCATCACATATTATACTAGTGTGACATTTTGCTCATTGAAAGGACAGCAAAGGTTAAAAGCCAACAAGAGGCCACAAATCTTCACTGAACTTCAGAGCTCATGGTCTGTTAGCACAGTAGCTATTAGCAAACATCAAATCTTCTGTGGTCCCATTATACTGAAAGTACAGACTGTACTAAGCAATTACAAATCCAGATTCGTAAGTGCTCTCGATAGCCCAGGTTTGAGGACTCCAATTGCAGAAAAAGACTATGTATAGATTACAGGGCTGAGGAAAGCTGACAGAAATACAAGCCTCCAGCCTTAGGAGTATTTCACTAAAAGCTCTAAAGCAGCAGCAGCAATCACAGCTCTGAAGGCAGCTATTGCTCTGCTAATCATGTATCAGAGAAGCAATAACATTAAAAAAAAATTTGGTCTTTTCTTTAAGATTACCTCAGATGAATTTGGCTCAAGCTTCTGACTTAAGTGGATCTGCCTGGAATTTGACTCTGCAACACCAAGACATAACCTAGTAAATGAACCATTACACCACTTATGGCTATCACAACTTAAGCCAGTTAGTTTGTCTTTCCAATATTAAACTTTCAAAATCAAACCTGTATCTTAGTATATATTACTTCAGAAAACTTAAATTTGTAATTTTACCAAAGATCAAAGCATCCTAAAACAAACAGTTGTTCGGGCCGTAAAAGAGCAGCTACTTCACCCTGGGTTCTCCAGGCTCTACAGGAGTTCTTTACTGATGTTTGGAAACCATTTCAGTGATGCTTGGAGAAAGCAGGAATAAAATGCAGCTGTCCCTTTAAATATATTAATCCTAAATTGCTCCTAATGAAACAGAAGTTTGTACTTTGCTTAAAGTGAAAGTGTCTGATCGGCATTTTCATATTCAAGTGTTAAGATAACAGAAGCTCAAAGTCTTGTCTACTTCTGACTGAGTAAAAACAGTTTAGAAGGTTGCAGTGGATTAAAAGATCTAGGAAAGTTTCCAGACTGCTTCACAAACCTTCACTTCTCAAGCACCAATAAACACTTCAGTGGAGAAGACAGTGTTGAAAAACAGTCATGACATAATAAGATCTGAACAAGTTCTTCACATTCTGGCTTATGCTCAGACCTGGCTACCACTGCTTGTCAATCACACTCATGCCCAGTTTATCAATAGCAGATACAGACTTTTAAAAAGCTTGTTATATACTCTGTCACAACTAGACAGGAGTATAAATGGAAACAGTATTGATTTTGAGAATTACTGTCAAATCCCTGAGCAGCAATAAGAATCCCTGAACACTCAGAAGGAAGTATACTTGATTCCCATAGGGCTGTTAACCTAGTTTCACAAGAGGCAACGCAATCCAGAGCGTCACAAAAAGCACATGAAGCTGAACATGCCATGCCCTTCATGATGCCAAATCCATGATGACACTGGAGTCTTTACTTTCTCTCCAGCTTTCTCTACATGAACATTCCTTAAAAACGTGAATGCTCCTTTGCTAAGGTGGAAAAAAATTCCTTTGCAATTAGCAGAGATTGGCTAACTACCTTCCTCCTGGTACCCAGTTTTCATCTATTACTGCCATGTTCCACTTCCTCACAGAAGAGGAAAAGCTTTAAGTCCATGAAGAGAAGCTGAAGTGTTGTAACTGACTGGGAGGAGGGAGAAAACCCAAACAAAAATTTAACCATGTGACAGCATTTTCTACTGTAAACAGGTTTGTTGTTTCCAACCCTTCTGTACACTGTCTTCTCCCTCTCCTGTACCATTGTATACTAATTCTTAACCATGCCACAGTGAACACTTTTACTTGCTTTTCTCATAAGTTACTCTTAAGGCTTCTTCCACTGGCACTTTCTGCCACACACTCTCCAATTTCAAAAAGATCTAATTTAGGGTAGCTTTGGTAAGTCTGTTTTGTTTCTCTCATTTCTCTTCTCATTTATTACAAAAATCCCAGCCAGAAGTCTACTCTCAGCCACACTCATGATGCAGGGAAATGTACTTTCCTAACTCCAGCCCAGTTTAGTTTGGTACTGCTACTTAGGATAACTCCCCCCTCAATGCCTAAACAGATGCCTCATTTTGAATAAATTCTGAGGCTGGTAGCAAAACCAAGCAAACAAAAAAAGAGACATTATCTAAACCCATTTAGTTTTACCTTTCTCCTTCTGCTCTTCCACCTCTGCTGTCCACTTGCTGTTTCTTCTTTCACTATTTGAGAACTTTTTCTGGTTTACATTATCCACAGTCTGTGTAGCAGCCTGACAGACTGACTGGTTCTGAAGAAGTTGACAAAAGCAGAAATATCACTTTATGTAATTAGTCCAGTGACACTTCACCATCACCTGCTATGATACTATAATGCCTTCATGACAAATAATATTTATGTCTGTGACAAGCAGAAAGGGGAAGGGGGGAATCTGGCTCAGTAGCCTGCAGATTCATCCACTCTTTCTCCTTCATTGCTAAATTTTGCCAAGTGTCCCTTAAGAGCATTCATGTCACTAGCTGAAGTGAAAAAATCTGTTTCACTCAGACAAGAAATCACATCCTCCTCCTGCAAATGAGCAAATACAGCAAACTGTTACTGCTCAGGGGGAGAGAGCAACCTCTGTCCCTTAGGCTTCAGTCTTTCACCTAGTCGTTCTTTCCAGCCTTATTCTTGTTTCCCACATCTCTAGAACAAACCTAAGTGGAGAGTAGCTCCTTACCCACAGAATCTGCTCACTTCCCCGGATGTACTGAGACTCCCACCTACTTTCATTAAAATTGCATCAATAGAATGATCTCTCCAAAATCCTACAACCACAGATGCTCATGTGTCTCCCATAATTACATGCCTAAAGCCCTGTGTGGTGGATGTTCAGTTATTCCCAAGATAAACTACTATGTGTATTTTCTTATCTTTAACATATAAAGCATCACAGATACCTGTATTTCTAATTACAAAGTGAGTGCAAAATAAATATTCCTCATTTTTGAATTGCAGTGTGATTCAAGGACAGCAAACCAATGGCTAATGAAAGGTTCACAGACAAGTATGGAAAATGCACTGTTAATTACAAGGAATACAGCATACATTGCAAAGAGCAGGAAAAGCTTGTTCATCCCGCTGCTGGATCTCATAAAGGGAACGGGACTCCTCTATGGCCTGCTTCTCCCTGCGCTCCTCTGGAGACAGCCCAAAGTAGTTACAGTCCCTGCTGCCATGGCTCAGCTCCTCACTTCGCTCACGCTCCACTTTCCTGGTGGGAAAAAACAAAGCAGGATCACTTGGACTAAGAAACTCCAGATCAAATCCAGTACAAACTTGTGGGTTAGGAGGGAAAAAAGATGCAATGATGGAAATAGAAACTCTACTGCAGCAGCCCAAGGAATCAAAAAGTCGCTGCCAACAAATGCAGGCAAAACACTAAGAGTGTTTCAGAGACTTCTAACTCAGAACGCAAAGCAGCCCCCTATGACAGATTCAGCAGAAGCTGAGAGAAGATCTTAGCCATGCCCAATAAGCACTTGCAACATTATTTCAGCCCAACCAAAAAGAAAAACAAGTACAACAAAATCCACACTAACATTGATGTTCCAAGAAAAAATATGTGGCTTTGTAGTCAGCCATGCAAGCCATGCAAGTTTCTGCCATGCAAGGAAAAAAAAATAATTATAATTTCCTGTGCTTGTGTGTATTCTTAAGGACTTGGGACACTCCCTAAGAATTCAATGGCAACATATTTCAAAAAGAGTATGCAGGAAGCATCTGAAGCAGGCACCTGGGCTTCCAGAAGCTCAGTCAAGAGTTCAAGCCAGGGAAGATGCTGTTTGCAGTTTTACCTTGCAGACTGGGAAGGATTCCTGATGGGAGCTTTTTGCTCAGTTGAGGTCTGATGAGGTTGGGGCCCAGAACACAAGAACTGATGCTGCCTGGTTCCCACAGTATGCTGAAGTCGAGGAGGTAGTGCTGACTGGGGTTTGATTGACTTGCTCTGATTCTTTGGCCCTCTGCACTCTGCATCTGTGATAGCAATGTGAAAACAGGTAAGACTTTAGTTTTAATCATTTTTCTTAAGCTCTATGGGACAAAACATCTGACAAAGAAAATTCTGCCACACTAAGACAGGTACAGTCCTACCAGGCTGAGCATTCTGCCCCCATGTTGGGTAAAACTTTTTTATCTTCTTCCCTGGCACAGTGTTCCAGCCCTCCATAGGAGAGGTCTGTGGAAGAGGTTTAAGGCTCTTCAGTGAGACAGCATGCCTACAAAACAAGGAATTATGGAGAGAATAATATCTTAAAAGACCAGACTGGGACTTGCATAAATTAATACTACATGTTCATTAATACTGACAGATCTTCCCATTTTTGAGAACATTGCATTTAAAATCCTTTGCATTTATGATTACACTCAAGCAATGTGTAGAACAGCAAATCCTTTTTTTTTTTCCTTTTTACATAAAACTGGTAGGTTGACACAAACTTATCAGTAAGGAATTATCAGCCATTTGTGAAGTGCCTATTGTAATGTCTTCAGGGCAGACAGAAAAAGGGGATGGTCACAAAAAGCAATGTACTTAAATAAAAGCAATATACTTAGATAAATTTATTACCAACACTGCAACAGGTGCCAGAATTGAAAGATGTTACATTGAGGGTGCATATCCCAGAACAATTGCTGCCTTTTTAAGTGAGGATGCTGTAGGATGCCTCAAGCAACTATTTACATTATTTGAAAGGCAGACATGGAAACGGGTTAAACTCCAATTTAAAATGGATTCAAATTGCAAGATAATCTTCATATCTTGCAGGATGTTTTTTTTAATAGAGATTAAATGAGATTAATGGGCATCTTTCTCATTTACCTTGATTGAAAGTGTTTCCTCTTCCCAAAATACAATCAATGTGTATTTTTTTGACCCAGAAGTGACAGGACTTACAGCAGAGCTCGGGATGTCTCAAACTGCTCTCTCCCTGCACCCTCCCTACCAAAACACCCCAACAAACAAAAAAAAAAAAAACAACCCACCCCACACAACCAAAACCATCAAATCCACAGCAACAACTTTAATTTGTCCCAGGTGGGGCAAAGATGATGCTGATCTAAACAGCAACTCTGTATTAAAATCAGGCATAGCTACTCAACCACCAGAGGAGCTCAGTGCTTTAACAGACCTTTCAGTATGAAAAGCTTGTCACAAATCCAGCATCTAATTATTGAGTACGAGCAACACCTTATTAGCCTGGTAACAATCTGTTTAGGATTGAATCTTGTGCACAAAAAAATAAAATTAAAACACTATTAATGTAGTTACTGTTCTACACTGCAAGTAATACCCAGACTACTTGGCACTACAGAAAGGAGTATGAAGTGATAATCAATTTTTCTTTTTTGTTTAATAGTATGCTGTTTTCTTAACAAATTTGTGGTAGTACTGTTCCAAGTAACAAAACAGATACATTTCAGGGGCTGAAGTTTAACTCTGAACCAAAGTAATGCTTTGTTCGGTTTGGTGCTCCCTCCCGAAAGAGATTAAGCACTCACTTTGCTCCAAGCTCTTCTACAAATACAACAACTGGCCCATTCTGTGAAAAAACTTCTTGAATATGGGCATTATAAAATTTCCCATTATGGTCTAAGCGCACCTGTAGAGAACAAGAGTAAGAAAAAAAAGTGGATTAGCTCTAAAGAGGACTGTGAGAAGAAGTCACTTTAAAATATCAACATTAGAAACACAACTTTTCCTCTGGCCAACTAAAGACCTGAGAAATACACACACAGTTTAGTAAATGAATCAAAAACAATCTTCAATCTCTATGGCTTCTTCAAAAAGAAATAAAAATCCTGTTGAAACAAACACACGCACAACACTAAACAAACAGCCCACAAACAAACAGCTTGCTGGGGAACGCTATTTAATGAAATATGCTTTTCAAAACCACATGAGAAAGTTAAAAGCAATCGTGCAGCCAGGCTTTTCAGCTTTACTGAAAACACTCTTTCTCACAATACAACTCAAAGCTTTCCCCCATTAAAATCCACTTCACTTCAGTGAGATGTAGTCTAATTAGGAACATAATGAACACCATTTACTTCAGGAGTTATTTTCAAAAGGTTTTTTAAGAACAACTAAAAGAAGTTCTTCAGACATGATCATAGTACTATGTTTGACTGACATTCTGTGATCTTAAAATTATTCTGTTGAATAAAAAATAATTTTCTTCATGTTTCACTATAGTATTTGGCTTTACAGTTGTATTAATTTGGCCAACTTTAATTTCACTATTCATGTTTTCTTCCCATGTTTTCATATTATGTATTTACTGTCTTGCCACATACATATGAAATTTGACAGAGAGAATGTACTAATTACCAGAGTGTTTTCTCCTAATATTTATCCCTTCAATAAATACTACACAAGACAGCCTTAGGGTCATAAATGCAAATTTTAAGCCTATTAAGTACTATTAAGCAATAAATAATCAACTCAGTATTCGGTTGGTTTGCGGGCCAGGGTGTTGAGGGTTTGTGGGGTATTTTGTGGTTGGGTTTTTTTTTCAGTTTGGAGATGTGTTTTCCCTGCAGTTTAGTCACTATGGTTGATTCCATCACACAAATAAAAAAGTACAAACTAAAAGAGCCCCTGTTTTGCATGATTACCCCAACCCCCAATTGAATATTTTGTCATTAATATTAGTAACTTTAATAGATGGTCAAATGTCCTAGAAAGAAACATGTTTAGCCAAGTACCACCAGTTTAATTAACACGCCTAAGGAGACTAATCTACAAACTGAGAATTTCATGTCAAACCTTGCTTCTTAAGCAGCAACACTTCATACAAATCTTAACAGAATTTGAAGACCAATTGTGTAACACACTTGCAACACCCTGAGAGGAAGAATCGTCCAAAACTTCAGGATTTGCAGTAATTAAAGCAAGCTGTACTTCATTACTTGGAAGTACTGAGATTTTATCAAAACTAGTAAACAAAGAGGAATCACTATCTCCAATGTCAGACATAAATACACGGATCTACAGTTCCATGCTTAACATTGAGACTCCCAGTCATCTTATTACATATACTCTTGGAGTTAACTTTGTGGAGCAAAATTGCACTGATCAGTCATACGTATGCTGTAAGTCATGAACACTGCCAACAATTAAAGAACAAGTATATCCTCCTGAAGACACAAGCCAAGAGTATTTAGAAAGTAGCAATATCAAAATAGTTATCAAAGAGGGAAAATGGCCACCTTGAGCAAAATGTTAATGTGTCTCTAAACTACAATTCAGTATTACTTACTTTACATTTATCTCCAATGGAGTATTGCATGCCAGCAGCAATAGAGAAATCTTGTTTTTGCTGATCTGTAAATACAGAAGCAATAATATATTGTTAGTTTAAATATACCAAAAGGATTACTTTCTTGATAGAGTAAAAATGCAAACCAGGTGTTCAGGCCCTAAATCTGCCCACTGACCCATGTGAGGAAAATCAAACTAAACCTAAACTGCCACTTGCATCAGTTCTTCGGGAGGGCTTCACTTCACACAGCTTTCAAAAGCTGCAACTTTGAAGTATTCTGTTACTCACCCCATTTGGATCGGAGCCAAACATCATATTCAACGTTTCTGTAAACCAAGGGATCAAGTGATTTCAGAACCTTTTTAGGCAACACCAATGAGGTGGGATTCCCATTGCTCTCAAGGTGCTGCACGGAACAGAACAAAGTGCTAAATGGTCAACTACACAGACATATCCAGCTTTGCATTTTTCAATCACAGTGCTCAAGCCTTGTACTGAAATATGGAAATGCTAAAAATACATAGAGCATAAAGAGCTTTGAAAAAAAAAAAATTAAATGGTGTTCATTTAACCATGCCAGAACAAATCTAAGAACTAAGCAGCACTAAAAAGGACCCTGTCCACCTCGCAGCACATCAAAAGTATACATTACTTTTCGAAGAAACAGGTAATTTTTAGAATATTATATATTAAGAAAGCTATTAACTATCTCTCATGAATATTAAATACTAAAAAATATAGCTGAGTACGAGTTATTAGAAAGAAAAGAAGTCTCAATGGACAAATACCTTGTTGCCAGAAAGAGACTTCATTCCATTCATATCACTAACTGTTGTAGCTTTACTTCTGTAATAGGACAGAGGAAAGTTAAGTTTTCATAATGAATTACAGCATTACTAAGTCCTGAAAAACAAGTAAGACACATCTAAAAGGGGATAAAAATAGTGAAACTACAATTCTCTTTATGTTTTCCTGACAATAAGCATATCAAGGACTATACTCATATCTTGAAATGAAAAAGCTTTCTAAAATAAAAAACTGTATTTCTTTATCAAAGTAACTTAAAAATAAGATTTTGGATTTAAGTACAAGTTTTAGGAAGTCTATCTTAATGTGTGCTTTGTTGTCACTCAGGAAAAAAAAAAAAAAAAGCAAGGGGTAGAAGACCCGGGAAACACAAGTCCTCTTAAAATTTTTGCAACTACATGAGGAAAACATTTCAAAGTAGACATAAAAAAACTCTTAAAACCAAAACCTACTCCATTAGTTAACTTCCATCAGGCACTCTAATTTACTCTTTTTTTCCACACCTGACATCACTGGAAAAATACTTTCCACAGAGAAAGTCCCAAGTATTTTTCCTACAACAGTTGTAGGCAACTCTTAACATTAACTTCTCCCCAGAACTATTGCACTTATTAACAACATAATTGAAAAGTTTGTATTTATAAAATGAAAAGAATCTTCTGGAAAACTAGCTAATGAAACATGATGAAATCAACTTTAAGACAAGCAAAAGATTTAAGACTTCATAAACTCAGCAAAGTGTCTGTTCATTGGGTCAAGAGTCACATATACACATGCCAGCCCCTGCATTATAGGACATATGGTTTAAATCAAAAACATTGAGTTCCACAGCCTCCAGTGAGCATATGACCTTATTTCCAAAGGTGCTAAGGAGGTTAGCAGGATATTTTCTTAGGAATTCCAAAGATACAGGGTTAGGCTACTGCATTTGAATCCCAGGAAAGCTCCAAGAACAGAAAGGAGTACAGGTTTCCATCAGCTGACATTTAGCTATAATAATTGTTTCCTGAGGCAGAAATACTTTGTATTTTAATTGGCAACATTCCCTAGTATTTTTTTCCAAACGTGAAAAAAAGATAATCCCTTTCCCACAACTTTTTTTTCCTGTGATGATTCCCATCATCTTCCTCTCTGTTATTTTCAACCTGTGTGAGAAACCGGCTCCCAACAGCTCCAAGAACTTCTTCTGCCACATGCCACACAGCAGAGCCCTAGAGAAGGACTGTAACAATCAGTGGGAAGAGGGGACATGATCCACTGATACAGAACCATCTCCACAGTTTCACTGGAATTTCATACAAGCCAGAATTAAGAATCCTATGAAACAGAAGAAAACCTGCCAATATCTAAGTGCAAAAATGGCACTGTGGGTGATTGACTGTGCACGAGGAGTCAGCTCAAATTCTCGAAGCTTGCTGAAGAATTCAGCAAAAAGCAATACAAACCCACTTCCTTATGATCAAGATCAAAATGGAGCAAGCTATATCTGTATATCTCCACTAGCTTCACCTCAAGCAGGTATTCCAGTCCCCAGATGTTTGGAAGCCACGCAAGCTGGATCGGATTCCTGTAACTCTACTCAGCTGCAGAGTGAGCCAAGTCATTCTCACAGTTTACCATGCCAGACTGGCACACTAACAATTCTCCCAGGGAATTCTGCTACTCTAAACAGGAAGAGGCACATGTTGCAATGGCAATAATTCATTATGTAAAGAGACTGAAAGCTAGACTGCAGGAAGAACAGAGGAAGGCCAGAAGCCTATCCTTAGGGAAGTAAAGATTACACATTGCATTCTTTCACACTTCTAACCCTACCTCTTCGTGCTTCTTTTCTTAGTAATTTTTAAATGTTTTCAACCCTCATTGCTGGATTCCACTACTCGCCAGAAACTAAGAAAACTCATTTAAGATGTGTTCACAGGCAACTTTTCAATTTCATTTACCTGTAGTTGTCATCTTCTGAATCCGAAGCAGACACTTCACTGCTCCCATTACTTTCCTCTGTCACACCAACAGCGCTAAGTTCTGCCATAATTTTCTTTACATCCATATCAAACACTTTCTCATAGAGCAACTCATACAGCAGAGCTGGGTAAGGGGAGGAGAAAGTGGAAGAGCAAAATCAATTACCAGCTAAATCACTTTTTATTCCACTATTTCAGATGCTAATCATACAGGCATTGACAACTCAAACTGAACACCAAGCTACCAAAAATGACGATAACAAACTTCCATACAGAGCCTTTTCAGGAGACCTAATACTGATAGCTTTAAGATTTTTAGCAAAAATATATTTTTAACTAACAGCTAATACTCACACTGGCACAGAGCAGCCTTCTCTGCATACTCTATGGGATACACAATATCATAGTGGTTTCCATTTGAGAAGCACAGCAATACCTATTGAAAAAAATCATATGGATGTTTTAGACTTTGCAATTCACTTGATTTTTCATAAGCACACCCTTTAAATTAAATTTAAAGCACCCATGTGCTTTGTTATCTCTCAGGATCTCAATGTATCAATAAAACAATCAAAATTTTTGGTGGATGTCCTTTAAACCAAACAGAATTTGAACAAAAGCCAAAAAAAATTCAATACAGAATTTTCAGTGCCTGAAAATTGATTTTTACATAATTTTGTACTAGTAGAAAGATATGCCTCACCCTAAATACATCCCATCTATTTAAAAAGAAGTGTTACATGTATTAACAGCACAGCTGCCTTAAACAGACACAAAACAAACTCCTGAAATTAAATTCTCAGAACATTTCATTGTGTTGAATAATAAAGTCACATGCAACTACTTGCTGTTTTTAAAGAAGTCTTACTTCAGCACATCACAATAGCCATAGGTTTGTGGGGTTTTTTACCTTATCAGAAAAACCATTTTCAGTTACACGTGAAGGAGAAGCATTTGGCTCCTGGTATATTATGAAATCTTTCCTGGGGGGGGAAAAAAAAGTAGCAGATAAGAATTTATTTTAGAAGTAGTATCAGTAAAAATTTGAGCATTGAAGTCAAATTCAAGAAAGATACATAACCACAGTTATGTATAATCACCTAGTGATTTCTCTGCTATAATCAATCTCTGTCATGATTTTAAACTTAAATATTTCTCTCTCTCCCTTTCATCCATAATGTTCTCTTGGAGTTCTTCGCTTAACAACCTGTCAATTCCTACAACTTCTTTCTCACACAGGCAAAAGTGTTATCAGTCTTGCAAAATAACTAAGTACATTCACAGTTTCTGGATTAAAAAACAAAAACTTTTTACAACTACTCAGAAAAGGCAATTCTGAGAGGAAAAGAAGACTCATCCACTTCAGGGAGCAAAGAGAAATTTACTAGATAAGTGACCTATATTTGTGCGAGGTCTGAGGAGTGAAGTCAAACCTATTTGTACTGAATTTCTATCCTATACCTGAAAAGTCTGAAAGTCACTTATTGAAACAGAACAGAAAATTCTTACTTCTGCTTCCCTTAAGTCTGCCAGCATGCAAGAAAGAAAGCAACACTTTGCCCATAACTCTATCACCGTTCCTACTTTCCCTGAGATTCTTAATTGCCTTTTCAGTAGAAGCCTGTCTTCCCAAAACAAGCACGGCAGCAACTAGCCTTGTGGCCTCACCTCTGCAGTGAAATACCACATACAAGTTGCATCTGTGCCACAAAACCCTCATGTTGCTTTCAATGATAATTAAAAACACCCACTATTATCAACCAGGATTTGTCGTTATTCATTTATCAGCTGTGGCCCTGGATACCAGTGTGGCACGACTACAAAATAAACTACTCCTATTTAGGAGAATACATTTCTCGTGGCCCGAAATACAACAGATCATGACCATCACATCATCTGATGTGATTAAGCATCCAATTCTGCTGACTTAAATGGAGATATATCCCTCTACAACCTGGCTCAGTGTAACCATCAGACCTTCTCACTAAACCTCTTGAGGCAAGCTTTGCTCTGACTTCCAGCTCAGTCCTCCCCCATACATGCAGGACATGCAACTCCAAGCTGGCCCATTGACCTCACAAAAAATACAAAGATAGAATTCCATGCAATTTCCCACACATAACACCCAAAGTACCCAAAGGTAATATTTAACTAGCTTGATTCTCTCCTCTTATCAGCTGTCTCACCTATGGACAAAGCCATTAATTTACAGTAAACATTTTGAAATTCTGAATTTTTAATGGGTTTATAAACAGCAGACGGTGAAGATGCTGTGGATTACTCACTGTCTTCCACAATAATTAGAAAGCAATAATAAATATTCAACACATTGTTTCTCACTACTTTGTGAATAAAGATTTAGTACATAGGAAATAGGTACAGCTCACATATAAGCAATAGGGTTAGAACTAAAGACTTGGTGAAAGACAGGAAGAAAAGCAATTTTAACAGGAAAACTAGGCTATTAAAATTAACAAAATACAAACTGTATGAGATTACCCACAACTGGCTGTGCAGGCGAGATACATGGCATTACTGCAAACCTGTATTCACATCGCAGATTAAATGTCATTTCCTAAAGTCAGTTCTCTATTTTAATTTAACCCCTTGACAGATGCAATTTTCAAATATATTTATAATTTTATGGAGGACTATGGTATGGTATAACATAATTCTATCTTTGTTGTTCCAACTGATTTACTAACAAAACAACAGAACTTATCTCAGTAAAACATACTTGAAAGGTTTTCTTACTTGTACATAAGAGAAAGGGCACTTATTTCTACTTGTCCAACCCATTCCTGTATTGAAAACAAAAGAAAACCAAGTTCAAACAAACATACAATTATACCTCCTCATAAGCAGATCAAGAGATGCAAGAAATCATTGTTGAAAATAAATATATGAACACTGAATCTAGAGTTCAGCAAGACATAAAAACACAATTCCCCAAATCATTTTACAGTAGTGAGTACACACATAAAACTATATATTCACATATTTCAAAGACCTCCTAAGCTCAAACACACTTAAGAGGAAAAAAAAAATCCAATTAGCCATCAACTTCAGCAAAAGTACTTGCTTTCTATTATAAATGAGGTTTAACATACCTGTGGATTTTCCAAACTTTTTAAATAATCTTCAAATGGCCCCTCTATGAACTGTATTTAAAAAAAAAACAAAAAAACATCCAGCAGTAATTAGTCATTTTTAGTAGTGCAGCATATGGAATCCCCAACCTGTGACCCACTGTACCAATGGGAATGTACCACTGAAAATGGAAGTCTCCCCTGCCCTCAAAAAGCCTACAAACTAAATATAAAGGGATGTCGAAATGAAGAAATGAACAGTCAAACACATAGGTTTGCCTTGCAGAAAATAACCACATAAACAGCTTTAAAAATCATCACACGAGTCAAAATAAAGCAAACAAAACCCCCCCAAACAGAAACTCAGCAGCCAAATAGGGAATCTGGAAAAAAGCAAAGATTATGTCATGTAGATGTTTATGGGCAATTCATCTCGGGCATGCAGAGCGTCACTGAAGAGAATAATTGTGGACTTGAATTCAAATATCCTGTTCAATAAACAGCAATGGACAATGAGAAACAGGAGCCACATTTCCATAGTATGGAAGCAGTGGTAAGATCTAGTACAGCCAACTCAGACAGCACTTTTTTTTCTGTTCTCTATCACCTCAAACTGCTTTTACTTTCAGCAAAGGATGCAAACAATCAGGCTACATTTCAAGTGCCAGCCCAAGAAAATGATCCTTCAACTGCGTTCTCTAACATACATGAGGAGGCCAAATTCAAATGTGCCAAGAGCAGAGAAAGGTGCTACAGACAACTTCAAAGTGTTTCAGCCACACTGGCCACAGAGAGGCTGCCTTTAAAAACTGCTCATGAGTCACAATCTGTTTGATTTACTTGAAATAAAGATCCACAGAGGTGCATAACAAGAAGGAAATCCCTTTGTGAACTTAAACTAGAAGCTGGATGGTCTCTTTACCCACAGTGAGTAAGAAACAAGATAAGGAGAACTGAGTGGAGTAGTGAATTTAAAAGTTCTGTTTAGCCATTTGGAAGTGAGAACTAACAAACCTGGCCATCATTTTTAATTTAGATAGAAGCAATCATGTGTGAAGTTGAAAAAGATGGATCAGCCCAACATGATCACAGACAGCGGTTACTTTTTGTGTCAAAATTAAACTGAAGATTTGCACAAAGGAAGAAATGAAGGACATCAGGAAGTTCTCATAGGAAACTGAAGAGTTAGAGAATAAATGTAACACAGCAGCAATTCAAGATAACACTTCAAGAAAGGCTGAGGATGGAAATGAAGATGGTGGCTACACTCCTTAAATCTTGGTTTTAACAGTATCAGTTGAAAGAAAGACACAAATTCAAGCTGAAATTATTACAACAGACAGAAGAGAACTTCAGGAAGCAGCACCATGTCAATAAAGCACAACTACTGTGGAGGCAGCAAGTGAACAGCTGAACCAGGAGATTAGGGAAAGAGACATTTGTTGTTTATGCTGTTTGGGTTTTTTAAAGAGAGAGAACAGTGCTGTATCCCAGACAGAAAACAAAGCAGAGTGAGAGACAGAGGCAGCAAAAGAGATGAGCAGAGCTGAAGCGAGGTACCAGAGGGACGAAGAACACTGGGAAATGAAAACAAATATGAAACACCTACTCTCACAAGAAACTTTTAAAATGGAGACTTTTCAGACGGACAGCAAAGATGGACAGAGGAGAGGTCACACCTTGGGAATGTATGAATGGAATGTGTGAAGGGAAATAAAGAACACTGGGACCAGGAGTTTGGATAAGAGAGACCAAAACAATACTAAAACCATGCTAAAACCAGCTAGGGCTAACAAAGCAGGGATCGGAAACGATAATATGGGAAACAACATACACTTAAGAGTCAAAAAGGGCATGGAATTTCAAAACACTACACAATGGAACAAGAGAACAGGAGTAGAGAAGCAGATACTGGAGTCAGCGGGGTAATTCTGGAAAGAAAGGGATTAAAAAGTCCGCAGTGAAAAAATGACCTTAAGAAGAGAGACGTCCAAGAGTCAGAAACAACTGGAAGGAGTCAAGTCAGAGCAGCATTGTCCTAGAGAGTTCTGTTGTATTATATATCATTATATATAATATATATATGTATATATGTACATGTATAATTATATCATGATATAATATATCATTAATTCCTGATAACTTCCACATGGTATGTGATCACTTACATTTGAGCTGAGAGTACTAGGTCAGAAATTATAGCACAAAGACACACCCTTATTCCTGCTTTCCTTCTCCTCCCTATGCCAGTGCATACCTAAAACAGTCTTTGTATTTTGGGTTCAGTAAATTTAGAACAGAAAAATAGAGTAACAATCTTCTAGTAGCAGATCCTTACACATACTCACTCCCTTTCTGTCTGTCCTGGAAATCAGGTAACAGTATGTACACTAGAACCCATACAAACACAAAGAGAAGCACCATTATTGATTAATACTCTTTTAAAAGGAAGAAAAAAAAAAAAGGAATTTGTAGTGTTAATACTGACAGCATTGACCAAATATAATGAATATCAAAATATTTTACATCCATGGTTGATGAAAAACTTAGTTACAGATGTTTAGGGAAGAAAACCTACAGTGCCAATGCATAATAAACTGCAGACCCTGGAAAGAATCTCACTAATCTCATCAGTCAAATCCTTCATATATTGGAAAAGCAATTAATTAGCACAACAAGAATATTTTATGACTTTTATTAAAGTAGGCATTATACTACACTAAAATCCAGATTATAGTAGCTTCACTATAGACCACACTGAAGATTAAGTTTGCTTTCCTTTCTTCATGAGCACTAAAAACTCCTCCTATACCACATCACTCCAATCCAAGGAGTACACAAGTCTCTCCAGGCTTAGAAAATGAGTAATTACCACATATGTGCTAATTAATTTAAATAGCACCGATATTCAGCTACAGTGAATATTTGCCACAAACACAGGGAGGTGCAAAATATACCTAAGCAGAAGGAATAAAGTAACTTTTCTTAAATGCTGACAAAGAAAACAAAAATACTTACTGCTTCAAATTTCTCCCTATGTTTTCGAAGATAGTCTACACAAGCCATCCTAACATCAATGTGCCGAGACTGAGAGTACAACACCTAGGGAGAGAGGGAGAAAGAGAACAAGGTGACATTGGATCTCAGGAGTTTTGATGACAGGCCACAAATAATTAATGACTGCTGTCTAAATACAGGCTTGGAAATACTCTAGTTTTATTTTTAAGAATATTTAATATGCATGCTCATTCAGCAACAACATCTTCAGGCAAGTCAAACTTCTATTACTTAATAAAAAATTAAGTAACTGCAGAATTCACAGGTTTGCTAAATTCAAACCTTCAATTTTATGAGGATTTACGAAGCAAATGAATAGCATTTATTGTTAATCTTTAACTGCCTTCTTTGTAAAAGACTTCAGTTAACTGAAAGGAAGTCACAGCAGGAATGGATGAGGAAGTCATCTACCAACATGCATTCATTCAAACTAAGTCCAACCAAGTCTCACAGTGCATGTTTACCTTCTCTTCAACAGGCCTGTTGCCCAAACAGTTTTTTGGAAGCCAGGAATTCAGTTCCCAATATGACGCCCACATTCTACCTCCTGTTCAAATCTCTATTTGGAAACTACTACTTTCATCACAGGTTCCAAGTTATCTCAAGTACAACACAGGGAAGTTCCAGACAATTTAAGTTGCAGTGTCTCTTGAAGTCCTTACACACCACCCTCAAAATAAATCACTTCCAAATTCAGTTTTTCTGAATGAAGAGTGCACAAATTAGACCAAATTTGCAGATAAACACTTAATAACTCTCAATTCAAGACCTTAATTTCTTAGAGGTCATTTCCAAACTAAATGATTCCATAATAAGAACGGGATGTTAAAAATGTAATAGCTGAAAAAAAGTTCTATCAACACTTGAGTGTGAGAGAAACTTTCTATGTATTAACTTAAAAAGTCAAAATAGCAATATATATATTATATGTATATTTCCTTGAGATAAAAAAACACCCACTTCCAATCGATAGTGTTTGCTTGCCTGAACTTATCAATTCAGTGGGGAAAGGAATTTTTTTTTAAAAAAGTGATCTGTGTATAATTAGCACAGGAATCTGGGTTCCCACAATCAGAAGCACCAGAGCTCCCACTGCTGTTTGCTTGTACTTAAGACAAGATGACGCTGTCGCTTTTTTCCTTTAACACTAACACTGAAATGGGGGAGGGGAATTCAACAGGAAGAACAGAAAATAAATTACTTTCTCAAATTTTATAGTCAACTAATTAACAAAACTAAGAACGTGGCTTCTCAGCTCTTTCCACTAAATTCCTTTTCCTAGACAATCTCATACCCAGCAGCTGTATTCCTATGTTGAGATCTCACACTGAAAAAAGCTCTGAGGAGGCGGTGGAAGGTCAAAACAGATAAGGATTTCTTGGTGGCATAAGGCAGCTGCACACATATAACTTCTCTCACCTCACAAGGTGGAAATCATTTTAACAGTCACGTTTTTCACCGGCACATGACTGCATAACCTTAACCTATACCTGTCTGCGTTTTAACACTAATTACCACCCACTAATGAGATCCACTTCCCATGCTTTCGTGAGAAGGAGCTTTGTTTATGTAACCAGTTACCTGCTCGGCCACAGCCCTGAAAAGGCAGGACCCATCCTTGGCCACTTTCTTCCTGTACAAGCCCTGAGATCGCAGGTAGCGGTCCATGGACGTGTCCCCGGGGGCGTCCCCGCCGCTGCCGGGATGGCTCTGCTCCCCTCCACCGGCCCTGCCCGCCGCATCCATGTTCACCGAGGAGAACGCCGGACCCCTCCTAGTCCCACATGGCGAGGAGAAGCCGCGGCGCAGCTCCGGGGCCGGGCACAGGTGCAGCGGCCGGAGCCGGGGGCAGCGCTGGCCCGCCGGCAGCCGCAGGAGCAGCGGGAGCAGGAACGGGAGCGGCAGGAAGAGCAGCAGCCGGCTTCACGTTGTCCACTCGCATGTGGGGAGCGCGGAGNCCTGCAGGCGGAAAACAAAAGGGAAAGGAAGGACACGTGCGGCCCGCCGGGAGGGAGGGAGGGAGAGAGGGGAGGGCGCAAACAGGAGCGTAACCTGGCGCTTATTTTCACTTTCAGCCCGGGCGCTGCTGGGAGCCGTAGTCCCGGAGGAGGAGGAAGCAGGAGGAGGCGGACACAGCGCCCGGGGCCGGGCTGTCAGCCTCGCCCCCGGTCAGGATCATTTCATTGCTTCTTGGTTTTAGAACCGACACGGGTGGGGTGGGGGTGAAAAACTCAACATAACCCGGTAGTGTGTGCCCGCAGCCCACAAAGCCAGCTATATCCTGGGCTGCATCCAAAGCAGCGTGGGCAGCTGGGCAAGGGGGGGACATTCTCTCCCCTCCGCTGAGACCCCACCTGGAATACTGTGTGCAGCTCTAGTGCTCCCAGCACAAGGAGGACACGGAACTGTTGGAGCAAGTCCAGAGGAGGCCACGAGGTTGATAATGGGAGTGAGGCACCTCCCCCGCAAAGACAGGCTGAGAAAGTTTGGGCTGTTCAGCCCGGAGAACAGAAAGCTGCATGGAAATCTTACAAAAAAGTTTCAGTATCTGAAGGAGACCTAAAAGCAAGCAGAAGAGGGACTCGGAATTGTAGTGATGGGACAAGAAATAACAGGTTTAAATTCACGGGGTGGAAATTTAGGTTAGGTATCAGGACGAAATTCTCCACTGTCAGAGTGGTGAGACACTGGAGCCAGTTGCCCAGGGAGGTTGCGGATGCCCCATCCCTGGAAGTGTTCAAGGCCAGGCTGGATAAGGCTGTAGGCAATCTGGTCTAGTGGGAGGTGTCCCTGCACAGGGAAGTGGAGCTGGGACTAGATGATCTTTAAGGCTCACTCCAACCCTTTCACATTCTATGATTTTGTCTGAAATCTAACCACAGTATGTGGGGTTTGTGTGTTTAGTTAGGCTTTGCTTGGTTTGGGGTTTCCCCCAAAACAGATGAGATTGTAAGATTATTTTTTAACTCCATCCACTTGCAAGAAAGAAGATCAAAATAAAACAAAAATAATTAAATTAAAAATTAATTAATTTTAATTAATTAAAAATGGATTAATTAAAAATTGATTTTAAAATGCCACAGACATTCAGTATTTTTAATGTATTACTTGTATGCCACTCTTGTAAGATGCCCAAACATTTGTATCACAATTGCATGATTAAATTTTGCTTGGCATTGTAAACAGGATTTAGAAGGTTTTGATGCACAACATGTGACAAGAAAGGATGCTCTTCAAACTTGTAAGGCTGACAGTAATAAGCCTAGGGAGGGTGGTGACTTGAGATCCCTAGGTAATAATAATAATACTTATTATTATATATATTATGATAATATATTATACATTATTATAAAATTACTTAATAAACACAAGTTATTAGGCAGCCCAAGTCTAGTGCTCCACCAGCTCCTTACAAGCAGCATCGTTCCATCTTTCATAACAGAAGCTCAGGTTTGCCAGAAAGGAACAAGAAACAAATGCCAGTTCCTGGGATCTCTGTAGACAAGGAGAACAGAAAGTGAAAGAAGCGAAAGCAAAGCTCTACCCACAGCCAGACCTCCAAGACACAGGGAGCTAGTGAGGCAGCATGGGGATGGATATTTTAGACAAGGAAGGGGATAAAAATACCAGCAAGGGGCTGGAGGAAAAGCTCCAACTTCTCCCCAGAAGATGGGAAAGTTCATCTAACAAGGCTAAACTAAAAGCAATTGCTGCCACTGACTCAGGTGCCACATTAATTCAAGAAACTCAACATAGCAGAGTCCTGCATGTAAGAGCTGCTTCTTCTGTAGATAAAAGTGATTTGGAAAGATACTTTTGAGACCTATCAAACTGGTGTCCAGTTACAGAGTTTCTTAGGAATATTTTTCCTCCTATTTTTCCTCAGTCTATTTGTCATGTGAGAGGCAGAACTATGCTCTAATATTTAACAAATCTGTCTTCTCATATATTTCAGCCTTTTGTCATTGTGATTCTAAAGGCTGGTGAGGGGAAGGGCAAATGCCTTTCATCACATCTGTTAGACTCAAGAATGCCTATACACACTAGGCCATTCAGTATGTGACAAGATGTAAATGTGGTCCTGTTAAGTGAATACACAGAAAATTAGAGCATTAAAGTCTTCTAGTTGTCAGTATTCTAAAATCCTGCTCTTCCTGCAATCAGCCCCTTTAGCTGATCAAGTGATGATGACCCACAGATTTTTTTTTCCAAGTGCTGCTATACAAGAAACAATCCATTTCTAGAGGTTTAGTCCTCAATGAAGAAATCTACTCCATATGCAAATTTGCTAAGGCTCAAGGATAAATGCCTCCACCCAAAGGCACCTGAAACACCTCAGCATTAAAATAAATGCTCCATCAAGATAAGAATGACCAAATTATAACTCAGGAGTTATTACAGATGTTCTAATTAGAGTTCCTACAGATGCTCTCATTAGAGTTAATACAGATGTTCTAAATAGCCAGTAGCTTTATTAACACTTTCAACCAGCACTTGTACCACGTGCAGCAGCTCCAGCCACGAGTTTCTCCTCTCACTGCCCATACCCTGAATCAGCCCAGGAAGCTGACTCAAGCTGAAAAAATTTTTTCAGGGGGAAAAAAAAAAAATAAATAAAAATCCAACTTTATCTTTAAACCAAGCTTGGTTTTGTGATCCAGGTCACGGTCTGCCTGTCCCAACACCTGGGCCAGCAACCTTGGGGAGAGCAGCCCGCTGTTCCCCCGCCTCGCGCGCGCCCTTTCCCGGTTCGCCACGCGCCTCCTCCCACCCGCAGGTCGGGCACGGGCGGCTCTGCGGGACAGGCCGGGGACAGGCACTCGGGCAGGGCCGGCCCCCGAGCCTCCCGCAGCCGCGGCTGCAGCCCCAC